TAATAATAATAATAATGTACCCATTTGAAATTGACCACCTAATCTACTTCTAAAAGTTTTTTATCTTTGGATTGATTTGCACTTCTCAACCAATTATGGAGATGGTCAGATATTATTATACCCATTTTGCAGATGAGGACATTGAAACTGGGACCTTGGAGACTTGCACAAGTAGGTAAAAATGACTCCCACACCAAGTCTCTGAAGATATTTCCAATCACCAGTAACCATAATGGTTCAGTTCTTATAACACAGGCTTTCTCAATCAAGTTGGGCACTATTGACATGGGGCCAGATAATTCTTGGTTGTGGGACCTGTCCTGTGCCTTGTAGTATGTTTAGCAGCATTCCTGGCCTCTACCCTTAGGTGCCAATAGCAGTCTCCCCCTCTTCCCGCTTGAGATAAGCAAAAAAATATCCCTTAGGCAGTGGTTCTCAACCTTCCTAAGGCCATGACCCTTTAATACAGTTCCTCATGTTGTGGTGACCCCCAACCATAAAATTATTTTCGTTGCTACTTCATAACAGTAATTTTGCTATTGTTATGAATCGTAATGTAAATATCTGATATGCAGGATGTATTTAGGCGACCCCTGTGAAAGGGTCGTTCGACCCCCAAAGGGGTCGCGACCCACAGGTTGAGAACTGCTGCCCTAGAGGATAAAATCACCTGTGGTTGAGAACCACTACAATAAGAGAATCAGGCTTCATGACAAATGGGTTCTTCTGTTTATGTGGCTTCCTTTCTCCTGGCTTTGTGTGCTATAGAGGCCTTCCCTCGTTGAAACATTTGTAAAAGGCTATAGTGGATTGGCCTTTCACTATGACTATAGTTTTCACTATAGTTTTCAGCTATGGACCTCACAGTCAGAACGCAAGCTACATGAGGGCAGGGGCCACATCTGTTTCCTTCAATAAGTATTTTTTTTCAGTAAATGGAAAATGGACCACCAGTGTCACCATGGACCTAACAAGTTACACACTTTACACTCATTATATGACTTCATTTTCTAACCATGTATATTTTACCTATTAACAGGCTCATTTTACAGATTAGGCAAAGTTTAGAGAAAAATGATTCTAAGTGGATCAGCCTGCATTTAGGACCCAGCTCAATCTGATTAGAGAGTTATCTATATGTGATCTTTTGTGCCAGTATTGTTTAAATTGTAGTTTCACACCCTTATTAGATTATGAAACAAAGTTTTTGTGTGTGTCAAAACTAGCATCTTTTTTTTCTGATGATATAGAATAAAATGAAATAAAAAGGAAATGAAATGAAATAAAATGAAATAAATATCAAGTAGTTGAATAGTAACTGTAATTGAAAATATTTAAAAATTTAAAAACATACATAAAACAATACTTAAAAAAGAAAACATCAAAGTGAATTACAGTATTAAGGTTAAGATATTGTTTGATAAGACTTTTGTTTCACTGAGTGTGTGTGTATTTTAGTAGTTCATAATGCAAAATACACTTTTTCCATTTTCCCTGTGGGTCAGAAACATTTTTAAAACACTGCCATACTATCTATTTTTTTTGTCTTCTAGTGGCTAGAAAATGTTTGCTTGGCATTTTCAAATTAAATCATTTTCTAAAATTGGAAGTTTGTTCTCCCACTAGCCCAGCCTACTTATTATTTTGTTCATCTGGTATACCTGTGCTGGTATGGAATCTGGGGAAAGTTGAGGAAGAACTTTAAAAAGTGGATGCCAGGGATACTTACCAGGTGCAGAAACTGGAAAGACTGGTGTTGCACACACACCCATTTGGACTTTCCACTGGGGGATTCCTAGGTTTCCAGAATTCTGAACTTTCACTGATGTGACATGTTTTGAAAGATGCATTTCCCTTATATTCCAGGATCCAGTCTTATTTCTTAAAGAAAACCATGATCAGTGATCCTATCATCAGAATTTAACAGGGATTCAAATGGTAAAGGAGAAGCATGGTTTGTAGAGTCCCAACTCCAGCAAAACAGCATGAGGAAGGATGGGTTTTGAGCTGAATGATGATCACTTACTAACCAACATAATTTCTTATACATTCTTCCAGAATCCATGAATATTTTCTTTTCTTTTTTATATGATTTTAACACTGTTACCATCTGACCTTTTTCTATTATTTTGGAAATCTTTCTATATCAACATACCCAACTACTTCCTTTCTTTAACTATTGAATATCATTCCACTATATAGTTTAACAGTCTAAAAATAAACATTTTGCAGTAGCTGTTACTGCTTCTTCCTCTTCTCCTTCATCTTCTTTCCTTCTTCTTTCTTCTCCTCTTCTTTCTTCTTCTCTTCTCTTTACTCTCTCTCTCACCATTACCATGTTTTTGTATTTATGGAAGTATAACTAAAAGTTTTTAGAGCAGTTTTGTGGAAATAAGTGCGCCTGTTTTAATTTTCATAGATGTTGCTAAGTTGCCCTTCAAGATCATAGCAATTCCTTTTACACTTCATATTGGAATACATATTTCTGCAATAGACCAATCAACATTGTATAATAAACACCTTCACATTTTTGCCATTTTTAAGGTAGTAAATCATATCTTGTTAGTTTATTTTGCATTTTTCAATTATGTATACGATTGAATGTCATTTCATTTATTGTAAAACCTTTGTATTTCTTTTCCATTATAAGCCTTTGCTTCACCTTTTTTATTCTTTTGATATTTTTCAAATTGATTAATAAAACTTCCTTACACATCAAGGGCATTAGCTCTCTGTAACATGCACTACAAATATTTTTCCTGTTAATTAACTCTCTGTGACTTAGTTCTTTCGATTTTGAAATATTAATTCAAAAATTATATAAATTTTCCACTACAAATTATATTATCAGTTACTAATGTTCTGTTTCTAGAACCTTATCTTTAATTACATTCGAGTTGTGTGCAAATTGTATTGGAATAAAGAGAAAGAGAACATGTTTATTTTTAAAAAGACAAACCAGTTTTTCTGGTGCTTTTTATTAAACATTCCAATACTTTTTTTGCTGATCTCAAATTATTTCTTGACACATATTCAATTCCCATGTGCCCTTTTTCCATAATTTCTAGACTTTGTCATTTTCTGTTTATCAAAACATATTATTTCCAGAATGCCATTTTAAAAAAGAGTTAGCTATTCCTTTCACAATTATTTAAATTTGTTCACACCAATTTGAATCCACAAATGGAAGTTGATTAGGTGCTGAGGAGAGTTTTCTCTGAAGGTCTTATTCAAAGTGATCTTTTGAAAATTTAACTACTATAGAAAGTTACTGATTTTTCTTTGAAGTCTTTCACTTCTTTGCAGTTTTCTCTTTATGTACAATGCAAGGGTGTGCAAAATATGTTTACAGTTGTAATACAAGGAAATAATATAATAATCAATAAATAATGATACAAGAATAAATTGTTTTATGTACCCACACCTGTAAACCTATTTGCCCGCCCCTGTATTGCATTTGAACTGGAAGGTTTTGGGGTGGTTTACATCATTCACTCAGTCCTTTAATAAACAATTTTTTAAGATACTACTCTATATGGGCACTATTTTAAATGCTGGCCATACAGCAGTGAACAGTTCATATGGATCTTCACAGTAATATTGGAGTGGGTTGAGAGAGACCCAATTTTTCAAAATAACAGAATTCAGATGTTACGATGAAAATAACCAGGGCCAGAGAACAATTGAGGAGCAATTGAGAACAATTGACTGTCCGAGTGTGAAGGGAGTCACCGTGTTCCTGTTCTTCTGCACTGTCCAGGGCTGAATTGCCACATCCCAGGTCTTAACAGATATTTACTGAAGGAGTGAATCCATCGAAGATGGCCGGAGGTTCTGGCCTTGCCCCTGGGAAACACTTCAGTTTATGTTGTCTCTAAAGTTCTATTATGAGGAGCTGTTTAGACAAGGTCTATGGAAGATTTTTACTTTGAGGAGGAAAGAGATTTCCCTTCAGTTTTTATTCCTTACTTATTGCAAAAGTGATTTTGCAATGACTGATTTCAACATTTCTCCCTGAGCTTCTAAACCATGCTGGTCCTGAGCAAGCCTGAGCAAGTTTCCAGTAACAGGGTTTTTCCTTCCAGCCCTACCTCCCAATCTGCCAGAGGAAGCTTTGCATATCCACACCTGTGTGGGGAACAGAATGGAAGTGAGAAGTGAAAACTAGCCCAGAGGACCCAGATGATGTAGATTCTGAATAGTCAAAAGGTTTCCTGCAGAGTTATTGCAAAAGCTCACACTGAAGAAAAAGAAAAAAAAAAAACTTACATTCTGATATTGTCTCTGAGGCTGGATTTGCTGTGGGTTATACATGAGCCCCATCTTGTGCTTCCTCCAAAATATTTCCACTGTACAATTTCAAACACACTTATGAAACTTCCCTTTGATTGATTAGTTGAGTAACAAAATACACAGCAGAAAAATCAGAATAGATTAAGTGATGACTGAGTCTTTGACCAGTTTCTTCTTTTTCTGTTCTGTATTTGCTTTAAAGATTGAATGCTATTGGCTTTTTTTTTGCTATAGTTTCTTCTTATACTTATTGATCTCTACTAGCATTATAATCATTAATACTTGAGATGAACTTTTCTCTTTGATGTGCCCTACTTGTCAATCAACAGTCCTTTAAACTCTATATTCTTTCTTTCACTCTTGACATGTGCCATTGTTCTCCACTCTGAATGCCTCCCCTGCTGTTCTCCAAAGCTGCTCAGAATCACTAAGAGGGTATATTGCAGTATCAAGTACCATGGCTTCAGGCTCCGCCACAGCTGCCCACTTTCTAAAAGCTCCCTTTATTCTTTGCAACTGCACTATCCAATTCAGACTGACAAATATCAGTTCCTTCCCCCTTACCTTTCATGTAAAAAACAAAACTAAACAAGACACAAAACCTGAAAGTGTAATAAATCCCTCCCTCTGCAGAGTGTACATTAATACACCTTGTAATTGCCCTTCCCTGTTGGTTTTAGTTCTTTGCTCTTTATTCTTTTCTTCAGTACTCCAGCTTCCTCCGCATTATTATTCGCAGCCTTGAAATCCAAGTTGCAAATGCAGAAAACATGCCCACCCATTTTGGACAAACCCGCTCCCATAAAGAGGCCAGAGAGTAGCATCTGCTAGTACTGCTCACTAAAAGCACTCATCACTTGATTCATGAGAAAGAAGCAGGTCTTAGATTAAAACCTAATGAGCTATGAGCTTGAGAGAACACGAGGGGGTTGGGGGGAGTGCGCTATATAGTAGTAGATT